ATCCCCCTTCATCAGGGCTTGGCAACTGTTGGAGGAAGAAAACATACATTGGGCCAATATGTTTAGAGGGGCCTTGGAGGAAATTTTAGAAGCACAAAAAAATAGAAAGTATCTGCCCCAGAAGCCTGTTTAGGCAGCCCATACCAGCTTCTGGAGCAGATCAATGAAATTCCCACCAGAACCACTCTGCATACATGCGTCCAGTGTAGGTTTGCTTCCTGCAACAGTTGCCAAGCCCTGAAAAAGGGAGGCTTTGAACTCCTCCAAAACACATTGGCATAAACATTACTTCTGAATGTTACAAAATGCTTCTGGCACTTTCCTTCCAATTTGAGATACATGCCGACTCAGGGCCAACATTCCTTAGAAAGCCGGCTTATATATGGAATTCTTTATCTATAATCAGACCTGAGCTCTAGTTAGAGAAACCTCTAAAACAAAATGATCCAGGGCCACAATAAGAACTAGTGGAACCAAATGAATGTCCCAAGCAGATCATCACATTAGTCATCTCACCGGTTGTGGCTGTTTGGTCGTGCGCGCCCGATTAAAGATTCTCAGTGAATTACGAACCTTCTCCTTTCTGTCCAGCTGAGCAGGAGAAACAGAGATCAGGCCAGACTGCCTATTGGGAGAAAGGATGGAGAAAACACAAGCAATTTCAGACAATGAGCAAAGGCAAGTGTATGCTATTCAAGAAACAATGCAACACTGTTCTAAAGTTGCAATGTTGACTAAATTTACTCGAAATTCATATATTCCAATGCAGCTAGAGTCATCAGGCTTCTCAAAGAGTTTTCTAAGTGAGCGTGCATCCTTTTGTCACATGGTTCTGGGTTGTGCAACTTGCCTGTTATACTCCACTGTGTTTGGGGATAGGAAGGGGTGCTCAAGGCTGTGGGTGGTTTAGAGCGGGGGGGAGGGGGGAGTCATGCATAAGCCAGTGAATACACTAGCATACATTTATGATGGCCAACATATATGACAATGAAGAGAAGAATTCTGGCAACTATAGGGTTTTAGGCACAAGAGGAATCCAAGGATAAACAGAGCTATTGTGCTGGGTTTTCTGAGACTGTTGACTTAAGTTTACCTTTAATTCACTAAGGTTTATGCTGTGAAGACATGGCAGTGAATAGCAAAGAAAACAGTTGTCTGGAAGAGTCATGAACAAATATACACTCACCAGCCACTTTATTAGGTACACCTTGCTAGTATCGGGTTGGACCCCCTTTTGCCTTCAGAACGGCCTTAATCTTTGTGGCATAGATTCAAAAAGGTGTTGGAAACATTCCTCAGATTTTGGTCCATACTGACATGACAGCATCATGGGCCCAAAGTGTGCTAAGAAAATATGCCCCACACCATTACACCACCACCAGCAGCCTGAACCGTTGATACAAGGCAGGATGGATCTATGCTTTCATGTTCTTACAGCTAAAGGAGTGTTTTTATGACCATTTTGTCCCTGCCAGGCAACGTTTTTCCAATCTTCAGTTTCCAGTTTTGGCAAACATGTGTGCATTGTAGACTCCGTTTCCTGTTCTTAGCTGACAGGAGTGGCATCCGGTGTGGTCTTCTGCTGCTGTAGCCTGTCTGCTTCAAGGTTCGACGTGTTGTGCGTTCAGAGATGGTATTGTGCATAGTATTTAAGATACTGTTGCCTTTCTATCATCTCTAACCAGTCTGGCCTTTCTCCTCTGACATGAACAAGGCATTGTCATCCACACAAATGCCACTCACTGGATATTTTTTTTTGGATCATTCTCTATAAACCATTGACGTGCGGTACCTCATGTTCTGGGTGAGGCATTCCCCAGCCCCGCCCCCTGCCGACCAAAGCCCCGCCCCTGCCGGCTGAAGCCCCGCCGGATGAAACCCCGCTCCCAAGATAGTGTGAAGGATGAAGGGAGGAGACAGGGAGGACCCTGTCCCTCACAACCTGTCAAAAGCCAGATGCAGCGCTGCCTGTTATTAAACAGGCAGCGCTCCATCCATGACAGGTTACACAGCGGGGAGGCTTTCCCTGCTGTGTAACAAGCCGATCTGAATGGAGAAAAAGCTGTCAGCTTCAGACTTGGAGGCTCTGCCTCTCCTGACCGCATGTCCCTGCTGTAAACCAGAGAGATGGTTGTACGTAAAATTCCCAGTAGATCAGCATTTTTTTTTTCAAATACTGAGAACAGCCCATCTGGCACCAACAACCATGCCACGTTCAAAGTCACTTAAATCCCCTTTCTTCCCCATTCTGATGCTTGGTTTGAACTTCAGCAAGTCGTCTCCACTACATCTAGATGCCTAAATGTATTGAGTTGCTGCCATGTGATTGGCTGATTAGCAATTTGTGTTACCAAGCAATTGAACAGGTGTACCTAATAAAGTGGCTGGTGAGTGTGTGTCTCACAGAAGCAGCATACGATAGCAGCATAAAATCTGCAGATCATGCATTTTCAATACTTAGAGTAGCATGGTCAGAAATATCCTGCAAAGCTTAGCGTCTAGGCCAACTAGCCTCACCTCTTTACGCGTTTGCTGTTTCTCCGCTTATTTCTGCCTTTCTGTCCACGAGAGGAGGAATCAGGAGTTGATGGAACAGCAGGGGATTCTGAATTGAGGTCTAAAAAGTCTCCAGGACTCACAGCAAAGTCAGAAAACACCTCTCCACCTCCCACTTCATCTGAAAGCAAGTCAGAAGAATTCAATGAAAGTTGGAGACATGTACCAGACTAGACTTAGTTTAAACTTTCTACTAACTACCTGTCAATGGAGACCGGGATGCACATGGTTCTTTCACATCTTCATCGTCAACATGCTCATCTGTAGTCTCCCGTAATGACTTACTAAAACAAATATTAAACATGTTGATCCATGCTTGAGGATGCAGAAGGTTAACCTGCAGCAATATAAGTGGAAACCATCAAAAATACCGCTACCGTTTCTTGGGTGTACAAAATTCTGCACAACCAGAATCCTCCGACGCTTTACGTTTGGCTTTGCTCCTCTGCGGCAATTCCATTGCATCTGAAAGATTCAGATGCTGGTCAGCAGCTAATTCTTAAGCCCAAGAAGACAAAAGTTAAGATTACAAATCTTTCTTACCAGACGCTCGATCTGTATTAAGGCTGGAAGGACCCAGGCCAGACTTCAGTTTGTTTAAAGCGTCATTGACAATTCCTAAAAATATTTGAGAAAAATTAAAAATGATCCTCTTTAATCATTTGCTACTTGATCAGGTAAAAAGGTCACAGACATTATACTGGTATATAATCCACAAATTATGCAGCTGGGGTCAGAATGACACCAGACAATAGGGGAAGAAATATTGCTTGGATAGTCAGCAGTGGCGACTCTAGGAACAATATATAGGGGGTTCACATAAGATAACGCAGTCAGATCTGGGGGGGCACTAATAATTTTTATTACATGTCGCAACCGCTGGGCGCAGAGGTTTAATTGCGGATGGCATCTGAACCCTGCGGTTGCGACAGAAGCTGCATACAGCGTGTGCTGGTTACTACTTAAACCAGCGCGCTGTTTGCAGCTTCTGAGAAGATACGCTATTAGCATAGCGGGGAAGCCGGCTGCGCATTTTGCATCGCTCCCGCTACGCTAATAGTGTATCTTCTCAGAAGCTGCACACAGTGCGCCGGTTTAAGTAATAACCAGCACACACTGCATGCAGCTTCTGACAGCATGGGAGACGGGAGGCTGCACTTGTCGGTGGATCCAGGGATCAGGTAAGTATTAAAACAGACGCCGCAGAGTAGACTGCGGGGGGAGAGGAGGGGAGGGGGATGGATCAGATTGTCAGCGGTTTTTCCCTACGCCCTGTGGGGAGAAATCGTTGACAGTCTGTGAGGCTGCAGCGGGGAGAACCCCTGTCCCAGCAGATAACTGTGTGATAACCGGCCCTGGCAGTTATCTGCTGGGACAGGGATTCCATTTCTCTTGTCTTGCGCTATCGCCGGGACTGCCGCCACTGTTAGCGGGGGGGCACACAGGGGAGGCAAGTGATAACCTAGGGGGGGGCACTGATAGTAACTTCTACAAAAGTGACTCTAAAGCTGGCTATACACCTATAGATTATCTGCAGATTTTCTATGGTCAGATGGAAAAAGTGCTACAGATTCCTCCATCTACGCTAAACTGTGTGCATGGAGGAATCTCCCACTGGGCCAAGCTTCAGTATCTTGCTAGTCGGCCCCGCTGCCTCTCAAAACACTGGAACAATCTGATTGGATGCAGGCATTGTTCAGGTATTTCGAGAGCCAGCGGGGCCGACTAGCAAGATGCTGAAGCTTGGCCCAGTGGGAGATTCCTCCATCCAGAGGCGTAACTAGAACCTTTAGGGCTCCGGTGCAAGAAACCATGAAGTGCCCCCCCACAACCGCCATGGCACCGCATGGTTAACAGGAAGGCTGCCGAGGTCCACAGCAAGCGCGGGACCTCAGGCAGCCGCTTGTTTAAAATTTTAGTGCTGGTGTTCTGTCGAGAACGCCGACGTAGTCGAATTTGCCGACCTCAGCATCTCCGCTTGCTCACAGACCAATATTATCGAGGAAACAGATTTATTTACAAAGTATTTGTTTGTAATGGTTAATTGTGACCGTTAATAATATGCCGTCCATGGCAGTGAATGAAGGATGATATTATTAACAGTCACAATTACAAACAAATACTTTGTAAATAAATCTGTTTCCTCGATAATATTGGTCTGTGAGCAAGCGGAGATGCTGAGGTCGGCAAATTCGACTACGTCGGCGTTCTCGACAGAACACCAGCACTAAAATTTGAAACAAGCGGCGAGCGGTACTCGTGAAACATGCCCAGTATTAACACTGGTGTATCCCTACTTAAAAATGCATTGCTGGGACATGTTGTCCTACAAATTTGGAGCTATTCTGCATTGCTGTATAGTCAGCATACAGCAATGCAGAATACCACCAGCTTTGCGGGACTACAATTCCCAGCAATACATAATAAAAGTCAGCACTACAGAATATCACCAGTATGCCCCCCACACTTCCCACTCCAGACTTACCTTTCCTCTCCTGCAGGGCCCCCTTCCTCGTCGCGGCAGCCAGGGGGCGAGGCTAAGAGGAGAGGGTCCTCACAGCAGAATGTGCTGCCCGGCGGTGCCTGCAGCACATTCTGCGGGACTGGTGACAGCTTCTCCATCCCCGCCGCACAGCCGCCCCGTACATGCTGCGGGTGGCTGTGCAAGGGGGGGGGGTCATTTTGTGTTTTGGCCTGACAAATTTCTTAATTTTGGTTTTGATCTAAAAATATAATTTCAGTGCATTCCTATTTTATATATTAAACAACTTTTTTAAACTTTACGTTTAAAGGTGACAGATATATGGGTCCACTAGTGCTTCATTACCAGGCTGCCATTTTTAAAGTACATACTGTTAGATTATAACCAGGAAGACTTTGTAATGGGAAAGCTCATGAATAAATACAACGTTAACATTTAACTGTGATCATTTATACCGCTCATACTGCGCCGACGTCTCCTGCGAAGACCCTCTGGGTTCTGGCTGACCGAATCCTCCTCACCCGCGTCACAGGGGAGAGAAATTTTCTCCAAGATAAACGAAGGAACCTGCCCTGCCAAGAGAAGGAGACCTATGTAGGAGATTTGAGACCGCTCTGAGCCAACCTGCAAAGTGGTGCCAGTGTTGCAGTGTTACTGAACTTTCCATATTACCAAGAGCTTTAGGGTAAAATAAATAGCTAGCAGGAAGACTTTTATTGCAAAGTTTTTTACCTTCCTGCTAGTAAGTCTCTGAAGATTGTATATTGAGCCGCACGTCCACAGCTCTGTGTACAATCTCTGCAAGCCTTGGTTCAGGGATGAATTAAAAGCAATATTAAATTTTAAAGGTTTTTAAGCAATTTCAAATGCTGATCAAAAGTCTTACAATGGATTCTGCTTCTTGATAATTAAAAGTTTTATTTTCCTGCAGGATCAGCTGGTCCCCTAAGCAATGGTTCTGATATCCTGTTTAGGGTAGCTCCTTTCCCTTGCAGGGTCCTATGGAGCCACCCTTCTGGGTTGCCCCACAAACACAGCTCTTCTCAGACCCCACACAGCTCGCCTAAAACCCCACACAGCCCTCTCGAGACCCTGGAGACATCAGGCCACCACCCCGGGGCAACACAGTGTGTGTAGCTTTATATTACTATGCATTCCTGTATAATGTACTGGTGGGATTTGTAGCCCTCTATAGCCGGTGCCATTCTGCATTGCTGTATAATGTACTGGTGGGATTTGTAGCCCTCTATAGCCGGTGCCATTCTGCATTGCTGTATAATGTACTGCTGGGATTTGTAGCCCTCTATAGCCGGTGCCATTCTGCATTGCTCTATAATGTATTGCTATGATATGTAGTCCTCTATAGCCAGTGCCATTTCTGCAGTGCTGTATAATATATTGCTAAGATTTGTAGCCCCTCTACAGTCAGTGGCAGAACTATGTAACAGATTAGTAAAAATGTCAGTGTTGATTTGTTTGCTGCAATACTGCTATTGAGCCACAATCCCTATTTTCCCAGATAAAAAAATCCCTCCGGAGACCCTCTGCCCGAGACATTAGGCTAGGGGGGTCCACTATTATATTTTTTGCCCAGAGCCCACCAGAGTCTTGACTCTGCCCTGTCCTAATGTAAGAGGTGACTCTGGGCACCGAGTTAGGCCTGCATGAGATTTTAGTGATTAGGTTCACAAATGATTTAACACACTACTGAAATAGTAACGCTATACAGGAAACCCCCATGTATGACATAAATGTCTGATAAGGAAGTATTAGAGTTCCATATTAGCATAGCGCCTAATAAAAAACCATTTATAAATTAGGACAATGTTATCCCTTAGAGCAGCGGTTTCCTGTATTTCCATATAGTGAGCTGGGAATTGAGTTTTCAGCCAAGGGAGTGAATCATCGGGAATCACTGAATCTCAGTTGCATTGCTCTTGGCTGTGTATTCCATTGTACGTATGAAGATAAAAGTTCTGCAGTACATCACCCCGTGATCTTCATCACCCTGGGAATCAGCAGCTGCCTTTGTGTGAACAGCCATTACCTATATCCTGGGCTCGCTCGATGAGGCTTTGAATGGCAGAGGCCTGGAGTTGCAGCTGTTTCTCCGTGGCAAGGGTCAGCTTTTCTCCCAAGTTGCTGCTAGAGAACAGACTCGGAGCTAAAACTACGGCCAGATTCCCAGAGTCCATCCTGTTCTCATCACACCTGTCCAGAAAAAAGGAGAAGTTTATGAGCCCAATTTACATTCCAAACAAATGAGGGGTTAAAAGTGACAACTTCTGAATTAGAAAACAGGATTATGCTGAAAGAATATATAATCTAAAGAACAAAAATGTAATATACTGTAGCTCGTCTGACCTTGGAAGTGGTGAGAACATATGCTGAAAGTACAGAAATATACCTGTTGATCCTGCCAGAAACACAGTGGCCCTGTCATTTCCTCTGCACAGAACTTACCGTAACTTTGCCAGCTATCTTCTGCGAACTACACAACCCTTTTATTTAATGGATATGAGAAGGGAAGGTGTTTATAGTCCAGGTCAGAAGAGCAACCTAGAGTGACAATGCTGCTCCTCCACAGATAAAGTAAGTAATGTCACTAGGGATGCACCAATACCAAGTATTTGGGCGAGTACTCGTACTAAGCCTCCGATCTTGGAACTTCCTCTGACCGGCAGTGCCGTAAGGGAACATGGAGCCGGCTTCCTCGGCAATCAGGAAGCCGGGTGGCGAGTATTGACCCGACTCTCGTCTTCCTGATTGGCCGGGAAGCCGGCTTCATGCTGATTGGCTGGGAATCCCGTTCAAGGCCAATCAGAATCGAGCCGGCCAAACAACATGGATCCGGCTTCCTAGGCAATCGGGAAGCCGGGCAGCATGTCGTTACATGCTGACCAGCTTCCTGATTGCCTGGGAAGCCGGCTTCATGCTAGCGAAAGCACCGGTATTGGTACTCAGTATCAGCAAGTACCAAAAGCCAAATATCAGTACTCGTACCCAACAAAAATGTATTGGTGCATCCCTTGTTGTCACCCTAGGACAGGAAGTGTATTACAGGCAGGATCACCAGGTGAAAATAAAAGGAGAAAAAAAAAAAGCCTAAAAACTAATGCGGCCGCACATTCAAGGACCGGTAAGTTACAATATATTACATTTTTGTTCGGGGTTAAGATATGCTTAAGGGAACATGCACATTACCTTGCAGGGCACTGCAACACTAGCATTTTCTTAAGTTGATGTCCATTACGTTAGCCAGTTCACTTTTTTTCAGAGTGCTGTCAATGCACTCTAGAGCTGAGCAGTAATTCAATGGGAAACTCTTCCTCTGTACAGAAGCTTCCTGTATTAAAGACCAGTCACTGCTGCTCTCTACTTGTGCAGGGTGCCTGGTCTTGTCCCTGTCCCCTCCTGTAGTTTTCTATAGGCAGCCTGTAGTGGGTGGAGCCACCAGGTCACCTCCCAAAGCTCCGCTCTCGGTACAGGTTATGAACAGCACAGAGATGATGGCACTTCCACAAGGTAATCTCTGGGTTTGCAAAGGCAAACCCAGATTTTTATTTTTCTGGCTATTAAGGAATATATTTTAAATTATGTTTTTGCGCCTGGAGTTCAGCTTTAACAAAAAAAAATATTTGAGCAAAGGTAGAAGCAAGGTGCTGGACCCAGATTCTCAATGTGTAAGTTAAAAAGTCTGTGTTTAGGGTCAGAAGCTCTCCACAACGCTGCGCAGAGGCCTTTCCAATAAAGGGGGTCCAAAAATTCAACACGTAGTAGAACCAGACTGAGTAACAAACACACGTATCAGGATGATCCCTCGTGATAGAAGTACAAACAAACAATCAGCTTTTACATTTTCTAAGTTGCGTGGAAAAAATTAAAGGTAGAAGCTGATTGGTTGCTACGGGCAACTGCACCAGTTGTGATAGAACTTGTCCAAGACACTTTTTATTAATTCCCTTCCCTCCATTGTTTTGCGATATCAGCAGTCAGTTTTTAACAAATGTTAGGATTGGGGGTCCACCTTGTGGCCATTTTATAATACTGCGGCTGTTACCTGGAGGCCACATTTTGTAGGAAGGTACAGAAGTACCTCAAGGTCTCCCCATGGGCAGGCGGGAGGAGACAAGTCACCAGGGTTGTGGCAGAACCCCTCTCCTCTTCACATAGAGTCTGCTGAATCTGGCACAGGGGGTCTTGTAGCTCTGGTGTGAGAAGCGGCTGTGGGAGCTCCCGGAAAAACTGCTTCAGCAGAGCAGCTACATCGCTGGGATGGGCAGAAGACAGGGAGGTCTCCCCAGACTCGAGCTGCACCTGTAACAAGAACATTTTTAGTTTTTACTGTTTAATTTTCGCAATGCTGAAAAAGCGACAAATTCTTTATGAAGAAATATTAACCCCGGAAGAGCTTACTATCTAATGTCGCTACCGCAACAATTCAGATGCAGCAAGGCACATTGCTGTGGAACCCAGTGAACCCAATACATTGTTCTGTGGGTTGAAGCTACAGCATTTAGTAGAAGCTGGAGGAGAGCTTACGATTTAATGTCCCTACCACAAATGTAGGAGCAGTAAGGTCTATTGCGATGGAACCCAGTGAACCCACTAAGTTGGTTGAAGCCGCAGCATTCAGTGGAAGCTGGAACAAATATAGGGAGATTGCAAAAACGTCACACAGGGGCCGTTGTATAAAAGTTTCCCCCAGCGTGTAGCTGGGTGAAAGCCGTTAACACGGCATCACTGCGGCTAGATGGAGCCAAGGCACAAAAGGAAAATTCCTATGCTCCTCGGCTCCCATACAGCTCTGGAAATCTCATTCACCCAGCGAAGAGCTGTGCAAATGGTTTAGAAATCAGCCCCTTAGTGTGTGAAGTTTGTAATCTCACCATATTTGTTACAGCTTCAACCCGCAAACCAATTTAGTGGATTCACTTGCACCGTGCACCCAGAGGTGCTGATATGTAAATTGATTGTACAGCTTTTTGCCGTGCAAACAGTTTATATAAATTCTTTATTTATAGGTATTTCAATACTTGTACAAAACAAAAAAGCAAGACAGATAACAGTCGTACAGATAATACAAAAACGGCCACCCCGTATCTCCATTCCACGCAGGCCTCTGGATACCATGGGGTGTCCAAGGTTCTCGTTTCACACCCCTCCCAGCAGGGCTGCGTAGACAGTTTATAAAGCAACCCCTTAGGGTCCTTCGTGGAAAAAACCCCAGGATGTCATCCTCCATTTTGTTTCTCTCCTCTGTTTACCTTCCCGTTCCCTATTCCCTCCCCCATTTCTAAAGTTGTTACATTCACGTTTTGATTCTGCATTTGGGACCTTTTGGCCCCTGTACTGTGGCATGCCCAAAAGATATGACATTTAATTCACAGCCTCTTAGTTTATTACCCATATAGTAAGTCCAAACCACTGCCTGTCCTGCTATTCCTGTGTAAGGTGGAGACACAGTGAAGGAAGAAAAAAAAAAAAAGGCCAGTTTAACAACTGATATCCGGTTAGTTTCTTGTTCACACGGAAAAACAAACAATGGCCAAACGCCTAAATCACATTTAAAAAAAAAAAGTAGCAAGACACATTTCAGAAGCACATTGACGTGGGCATGCACCCACACTGCCCTAGGGCTGCCACCTTTTCTTCAAGTGAGGCGCGAAGACTCTAGCGCCGCGTGCAGCATTTTTATTTTTGGGGGAGAATATAGTGGTGAGAGCGAGGAGAGGCAGCCGGGGAGAAAGTAAGGAGACCGGCTATAGAGGACTAAAAATCCCAGCATACATTATACAGCAATACAAAATAATATGAGGGTACATACTCTGTATTGCTCGGGGGGGGGTGGCAGCCCGATGTCTCTAGGGTCTCGCGTGGCCTGTGCGGGCTCTCACCAGGCTGGGAACGCTCTCGGGTGCATTTGTTTACTATCTTGACATGCATTGAGGGCCCATTAGAAGTGAATGGACATTACTGAGTTAAGTGTTTATGATGGGTCATGGGTTGGACCCCTCTGATCTTTGGTTACTTGGATACTTTATGGCATCAGATACTTTCAATTCTTGCATGGATTTCTTCTATAACCTTGTTGGTATGGAGGAACCACTAGAAATGAATGGGCATCACCAGGTTAAGTGTTTTTGATGGGTCATGGGTTGGACCCCTCTGATCCTTGGTTACTTTGATACTTAGATACTTGAGGGCATCAGCTACTTTCAACTCTTGCGTGCATTTCCTTGCATTCCTCTGTTTATGTAAGGGCCAGGGACATTGGGTCCCTTTGTGCGACAGTGTTTTTGTAACTTTGATTCTCGTTTAAGCTTAAAAGGAGAACTATGGGGTTAAGGCTTTTCCCCATAGTTCTCCTTAGGGTAACGGGAGGACGCTAGTTTGTGCCCTCCCGTCACCCTAAGCTCAGTATACCGCGAGCTACAGCTCGCGGTATACTGAGACGCCACAGTATACTGCCAGCTACTGCTCGCGGTATACTGAGACGCCGCAGCTGAAGCAGATCCCGACAATTATGTCTGGATCCGCCCAGCTGCGTGAGTGACAGCTGGCTCTGACTATCTAGAGGCAGAGCCAGCTGTACCCGCCCCCTCCCCCGTCCGATCCGCCAGTCAGCGCTGGCAGATCGGAGCGGGGAGGGGGGAATCCAGCCCCACCCTTATCACGGCAGAGAGCCGTGACAGGATCGAGAGGTGAGCGAACCCGGTATGTGTTCGCTCACCTCCCGATCTACTGAGCCGACCTGCGACAGTCTCATTGTCACAGGTCGGCTAGAACTATGAGGTGAGTGAAAAGCACTCACCTCATACTTCTCCTTTAATAAAAATGTATTGAAGAAGAAATGAATGAGATCCCCCCCCCCAAAAAAAAAATTCATAACATGTTGACTTACATGCTTTAACACACGCTTTGATATGCATGGCAATACACACAGGGCAATGTAAATTCAGCACAAGACTGTACCGGTCAAGCTGCCGCAGTCACACACACACTTTTGAACAATCATCTATTACACACCAATGGCCTTCTCTAGGAATAAATCTTCCATTTGCAAAACACAAGAAGGTTAAAAACAATGCTGAAACTACGGTACCAGGTACAGGAAACATGACCACATATTATATATGATTATTTGAGCCAGAAGTATATGAGATAAAGGCGTAGGCTGATGCCGCTGACCTATTTCTGAAAATGTTTGTAGCTTGTTTGTCATGAAGTTTTCTTTAAGTTAGTAAAACAGATATAAAAGAGCATTCATATCATAGAAAATGGCCAACGACTTTTAGCCCCATATATGAGTATTTTCAGGTAATATCGGTCTGCTGCCTGGAACTCTTGGCCCTTATGCACAGACTATGGACATGAAACTATTGACATATTCTTAACCAGCAGTATAAAAACTTCAAAGGCCATCACTGACCCCTCTAGCGGCCTGTACTGTGAAGTAATTTAAACTCAGTCAATTTAAAAAAATTAACCCATGCAGCCGGTCTACCCCTGCACTGCAAGGGTTAAGTGCTAATTTTGGTCTAGGGGCAAAAATAAAGAAATACTCATCTGATCCTCAGTCCTGAGGCAGTAACCGATCACCTCTCTGCCCCCTCCGCTCCAACTGTGATATGTCACATTGTTTTAAAGGATAAATGCACTTTAACACAAAACACTTCCCTGTTTGCCCTTACCTAAACTAACTTTCCCTCCGCAGATGCATACTTACCTGGATCCCATGGACTCTGGTGATTGGATACATCCAGCACCAAAAGTCTCCCTCTCCTGTGCATGCCTGCACATTACAGCCCCATAAACTTCTACTGGACAGTGTCGTGAGGCTGGAGATGGTCCCATAAAAAGGTCTATGGGGCTGTAATGTGCACACTTTGTCAGGATGTAAATAGTCACTGGAGGCCACGGCCATCACATTGAGGCAAGCATGCATCTGTGAAATGGGAAGGCGGTTAGAGGTTTAGGTATTGCAAAGGGGCAAAAAGGAGAAGTTTGCTTTATCTTAACCCTTTCACTGCCACAGACGTAAGTACTACATCCGTGGCAACACGACCTCCTGGACTCCTGCCATAGCAAAAAAAAAGTAACAAAATAAATTTAAAAAGTTTAACCTCACCCCATGAACATGTACATACATACTAAACATGTGTCCATGTATGAAAACAGCGATTGCACCACATGTATACCACACGACTGCATATAAGACATAACAGTCCACTTTAAAGAGACATCAGGGGTCTATTGGACCCCCAATGTCATCCCTGGACCCCAATGTGGTCAGGAAAAGACAGCTCTGAACCTAAGTGATGATGCTCCTCACTTCCAGGGTCATTCACAGAAGGGGAGATCAAAAGTTCGCTGGTCTCCTTCCACTATATCTGCCAAGCCCGTCCCAGGTCTGCAGGAGGGACAGAGGACCCAAGCATACATTGTGGGAGGCAGAGGTGCCACTTTTGTGAGACAGTGACGTCTATCTAAAACCTGTACTACTACTTGTAAGATTTAAACACACTCCCAGCTGCTATAAACACAAAGGAGTATGATTAGTAAAAAATCAGACAAAAGGTTCCGAAATCGAGTTTTTTCTAATGAAATTCTGCTGGCGTATGGCCAGCTTTAGTGTTGTCAACCTGCAACACAAAAGGGGGGAATTTATCAAAACTGGAGCGGACAAAAATCTAGAGCAGCTGTGCATGGCAACCAATCAGCTTCTTTCTTCAGTTTTTTCAGTTAAAGAGAGAAGCTGATTGGTTGCCATTCACAGCTGCTCCAGTTTAATAAATTCCCTTCAAAGTGTTTGGGCATTATGCCAAAAATAGATTTGAGGTTTATCTTTTTAAATATAAATCTCAATACAAAATTGAAAAAAAAAAAAAGAAGAAATGCTGGCCATGCACGCATGTTTCTTCCTGCAGGCTGATTGAAAGAAAACAGCATGGATCGACAAAGCCAACCAGCTGCAGTCACTGTATGTATTCTGACTGTGGCTGTCAGAATACGCAAACCGCGACTGCAGCTGGTTGGCTTTGGTCACGGTTCGAGTGCCAATTTTCCACCTGGCTCCTTCGACAAAAAAAGAATTAAAAAATTGACGGTTGTCAAGCCAAGTGGTGCCAGCAAGGCCACCCATGGATCAAATTTTGGACAACCCGCAGAAGTCGGATAATATTTGAACAGTGTATAGCTAGCTTAATATATAGAGAGCAAAATGGTCACCAACAGGCTGCGTTTCACAGCTAAAATTGTTCTTTCCTGTGTTCTTGTCAGTGATGTGCTCATACAATGCATATCCCTTCCCCCTGAGCTCTATAGGCTGACCAGAAAAAGTTGCTCAAACCCTATCTTCACTCTCTGTGGTCATCGGATGCCATTTCTTCCTCTCTAGCAGGGAAATCTTGCCACACCAGCAATGCTTTACTCAATCTCACACATGACACACTAAATAGAGAAAAAGCCCTCTCTGAATGGTTCCCGCTAAACACACAGATAAGACAGACTACAGACACATCGACCTTACTGGATAATCTGATACCTTACGTCAAAGTGTAATTATGTAAGAGCTACGCAACATCATCTCAGCGTTGTTTACCTGCTTCTAGTAAATTATAAAAAAAAAGAGCAGGCTTCCTTAAAGTGTATGTAAAGCCAATAAGATAATTTTATTAGTGGATAGAGTGAGGTGGTGTTATAAACCAACCTCAGAAAATTAGATCCACTGATCACAATAGGACAGATAAATATTTCTGCTCGAATAGTGCAAATATACATGTTGATCCCGCCAAAATTCCACTGGTCTGATATCTTCCTGTGCTCTCTGTCCTCGATGCATTGCATTGTTCCCAGCTATGTCTGTGAACTACAAAACACCCCCCATGTAATGGAGATAAGGTTGAAGGGGGGTGTCAGAGCCTTCCCTTTAATAAGGCAGCCTGAGGCTGTTGCCTTAGGCTGCATCTCTGTGGGTCCCATAGGGGTGCAGTAGGCAGAGCAATGCTTTTGTTGTACAGTGGCTGCTCTGCCGGACAATGTTTGCAGTGTGCCTGCCACCCCCTTTCCGGCCAGAGCATCCGAGGTTGCAAAGAGCAGGGGGGTTAAATTCGTAAGGATCATACCGATTTCCCCGCCCAGCTCTTAGCAACCTAGGACACTCTGGCAGGCAGCCCGCCTAGCTCCGGGCAACCAGTGACGTCACTGGTTCCCCGTAGCTGGATGGGACGGCGGCCAGAGCGTCCGAGGTTGCTAAGAGCCGAGCGGTGCAACGTGTAAGGGCCATACAAATTTCCCCAACCAGCTCCTAGCAACCTGGGACGCTCTGGTCGGCATCCCGCCCAGTTCTTGGCAACCAGTAATGTCACCGGTTGCCAGTAGCTAGACGGGAGGCTGGCCAGAGTATCCCAGGTGGCCAAGAGCTGGGTGGAGAGATGCAGAGCCTGCAGAGGGTGACAACATTCTCCTCTTTGGTGGCGCTGTCTCCTCTACCTCCCTCCCGCTGCATGCACCAACACATCCACCCACTCCCACAGTTGGCAAAAGGGCTAGGGACACCACAAGGGGGAAGGGGGGGTCCTGTAGTCCAAACACTTCCTGTTCTAAAGTTAACATTGCTCCTCCATAGATATAATACGTGTGAGCGTTGCCACCAGGACAGGGAGCGTGTTACTGGCAGGATCACCAGGTTAAAAAAAAGATTAAAAATGAATAAAGCCTGAAAAAAGAAAACAAATCCAGCCACCACATCCAAGTACAGGTAAGCTCCAATATATTACATTTATGTTCTTGAGTTTAGACATGTTTTAACTGTCAATCTATGCCGATGACCATCACATGTGCTCTGTACCGATTTCAGAGTGCTCAAGATCAGGTATCTGTCAGAAATGCATACTACTTTAAGCGGAGATAATATACAAACTCCACCCAGACAGTCTTCTCCCGGGGATTACATATAGTTTGCATGTTGTCCTTTGTGCATTTCCTTCAGTGCTCCAATTTCCTCCCACCGCCCAAAAACATTGCAGTAGTGTAACTGGTATCTGTCCAAACTGGCTACAGAATGCATATGATTGACACACTAAGAATGTGGAAAGAACACTGGACTGCAAGCTCCTTCAGGGCAGAAAGTGATGAGGCTGCTTCTATGTACTTTGTAAAATATGTCAGAGCTATTTAAACAAAATAACACAGGATTTATTGTTGGTGATCCTTTCTTTTAATCCCTGATGTTCATCCCCATTTGCAGCACCCACACATGTCAGATCATTTCATAACAGCCAGAGTGAATTGTCATTTCATTGAACTAGAAAAAATAAGTTGAGCTCCTATCAAGGTCAGAAAAGCAGTGTGTCCCTCCAGGTTAATCCATGCTTGCCTGCTATAGCCAGGTGCTCATTCAGCTCATTTGATGGCAACCACCATGACTGAGCGCATGAAACGCATCACAGGTCTCAATTCACCCCTTGTGTTATGCTTCTTTACTAGAATGAAAGAGTTCGAACATAGCTGGTGTGCAGGCATCCAATTTTCTTGTATAGAAGCTGAGCTCCTATGATGATCCTTTTTGTTAATCCCTGATGTTCTCGCAGGAAAATGGAGGTCTATATACTTGCTTGGGCACGTGGCCTTGGGTTACTTTTCCACAGCAAGTCAAGGCATTTTAAGTTGTCTGAGGACTTACGAGGATCAAACACTAAGCGCAACCAGCCTAGAAACATTCAAATTGTAAGAACACATCTGCTGGCCTTGCAAGTATCTATAAATGGAAAGAGAATATGGAGGAACGAGAGATGATAACACCCCCCCCCCCCCTTTCCCCAACATAGGTCATCCAGCCCGATTTTAGGGCACCCACACATTTGAGATCATTTGATAACAGCCAGACAGGAAAATAAGTTATGGGGATAGGGGCAAACTTTACAATACTAACATGTACACTAGCTGCTCTAAGGAAAGGGCGTTGGGTGACGATTGGTTGTATTAAGTCGTTTCACTAGCTTCTCCTTTAAAATGATGGCCTGAGTTTTTAATAGGACTAGAATTACTGTATATTGCCCCTTAACCATAACAGCATTGCCAAAAATTAAAAATGCAATAAGAAATGTCCCGATACCTTGAGAGTCTTGATCCTATTTACTGACCCAGACTTCCGGAAGAGGCCTTCAGCAGAGAGATGGTAGCTCAAGAACTGGCAGATGTCAACCACGAGCCTGGTGGGGTTAGAGGGCAGATTATTACATCATAGACAGTAAACAGCAGCAACCCACAACCAGAAAAATTTGTTTTGTATATACTATGCACATTTCTGTCTTAATGAGTCAAAGATTCCAGCCTCTTCAGCAAATCAGCAGATACACTATATGGGCAAAAGTATGGCAACCTCCACAAAATTACAGTATTTAGTTTACATGCACAAAGCTTGGTCCATAATTACACTGTTTGACAAATTTGATGTGCAAAAAACTCTAGTGGCCAGACCTCAACCCTACTGAATACCTTTGGGATGAATGCTGGTTGAGCCAACATAGGTTGTGAGGTCAGTACCTGACCTCACAAATGTTATTTTGGCTGTACAAGTACAAATTCCCACAGACACATTCTAAAATGTTTTGAAAATACTTCCCAGAAAAGTGGGGGCTGCTATAGTCTCAACGATAATGGCCAACTCCACATTAATGCCCATGGTGGGCAGCACAGTGGCATAGCGTTTCTGCCTTGCAAAACTGGGAGTGCCTGGCTCAAATCCTGGCCAGGTCACTATCTGCAAGGAGTTTGCATGTTATCCCTGTGCATGCGTGAGTGGGTTTGCTTCAGGTACTCCGGTTTCCTTCAGCACTCCAAAGATATGCTGGTAGGTTAATTGGCTCCTGTCTAAAACTGGCCCTCTTATGTATGCATGTGAGATAGGGGCATTAGATTGTAAGCTTCTTGAGGGCAGGCGCTGATGTAAATGTGCAGTATGTAAAGCACTGTGTAAATTGTTGGTGCTCTATAAATACCAATAATAATAATAATAATGATGGATGATGGATGATGGTGTTGCAATAAGATGTGCAATAAGATAGGCAGGGGTACACAAGCATCTGGCCATAGAGTATACATTATGTGTGTGCAAAAAGAAGGAGAGTAGTTTGACTGCATGAAAAATCTTGTATATTACACATCCAGATTAGCACTGCTGAGTTTGCAACCACGGGAAATGGGGAAGTTGGGGAAATCTTCCAGCGTGTTGGAATTTTTTTTACCATTCTATCACAATTACCTTTTTGAAAATAGCGCTTAGGCAAAATTATAAATTGTCCCTTATTCTTTATGTAAGGCTGGATTCTCAGGAGCAAGTGATTCGGACCTTATCCACCAGCCTCCAAGATGATGGGGCTGAAGTAGTGATCTCAGCCGATTTACTCAGTTCTCATGTTGGGCAGAGTGGTGCGGCTGCTGAACATCTAAGGCAACACTCAGGTAGTGGACTCTTATGGGGTAAGGTGTTGAAAGAAGGCTGCCCCAATAACAAGGGTTTTAGATGCTCTTCTGCACCCATTGTTGTGAACCCAGCCTTTGTGCTTAAAATGTGTTTGAATTGGAAGAAAATGTGAGTGTGTCACCAATATTTTGATGTTTTCCCCATCTCAGCAGCATAGGGACAAGTAAAAAAAAAAAAAACTCACTGTGGAACCTCCCCCCCTGCGCTGGGTGGGAGTGACTGAAGGGGAACCCCAAATAGCCCTCCACTGGATGATTTCCTCTGAAAGAAAAAAAAAAGAAGGATTTGATAAATATATTTCACTGTTTTTGGAAAATTTTTCATTAAAATTCCTTTCTTACCTGGACATCAGGGCTGATCGTCTTCTTTGGCATCCGTAGTTTAATCCCCAAGGATTTTAAATGCTGGATTATGACAACTGAAGGACCCGTGGCTCTCATGATCAGAACAGCATGGGCTCCTTAGATCACAATTCCTAGAACACAAATCCAGTCTTTAGGTTACCTTGTCTGAACTGTACAGGTCTCATCAGGCATGCATAGAGCAGTGTGATGTCTAACTACAGCCCTAGACACGTAATGAAAGCTACAAATATATATAAACCCTCCCATTAAACAATATGGAACTGAGCCATCTCGGTGTAGGAAAGTTGCAGATATGTGCAATATAAATCGTAGTCTCTGCTCACATCTGTGCAGTTTTTTGTCCAATGCACAAGAGGAATCCCATCCCATTGACTTCTATGTAAGTTTTCTCTTATCAATTTTCTATTTCCTCCTTTTGGTGTGACACCTCCCCCCCTGCGCTGGGTGGGAGTGACTGAAGGGGAACCCCAAATAGCCCTCCACTGGATGATTTCCTCTGAAAGAAAAAAAAAAGAAGGATTTGATAAATATATTTCACTGTTTTTGGAAAATTTTTCATTAAAATTCCTTTCTTACCTGGACATCAGGGCTGATCGTCTTCTTTGGCATCCGTAGTTTAATCCCCAAGGATTTTAAATGCTGGATTATGACAACTGAAGGACCCGTGGCTCTCATGATCAGAACAGCATGGGCTCCTTAGATCACAATTCCTAGAACACAAATCCAGTCTTTAGGTTACCTTGTCTGAACTGTACAGGTCTCATCAGGCATGCATAGAGCAGTGTGATGTCTAACTACAGCCCTAGACACGTAATGAAAGCTACAAATATATATAAACCCTCCCATTAAACAATATGGAACTGAGCCATCTCGGTGTAGGAAAGTTGCAGATATGTGCAATATAAATCGTAGTCTCTGCTCACATCTGTGCAGTTTTTTGTCCAATGCACAAGAGGAATCCCATCCCATTGACTTCTATGTAAGTTTTCTCTTATCAATTTTCTATTTCCTCCTTTTGGTGTGACTTTGGCCCCATAGACTTCAATGAAATTGTATCAAAAGGTGCATGTGCATGCGTTTGACACATTTTTTGACATAGCAACAGGGCTCCTCTCCCACAACTTCTACTCTACACAGGCAGCAGAGGAGATAGAGACATTGAGAGGAGACAAGGAGTGCGAGAGATGTACATGACTCCATATTGTCCTGTCGATCCTCTATTTGTGATCACCGGGTGGATCTTTGCTTCCTCTTCTCTGCCTCTTCTTCCTTAAAAATTGTGACAGTAGCTGCAGCTGCTGTAAAACATATTGCCATAGAAGCCATGGCACAAGACTGCAGCACAACTACACAGGCAATCAAGGAGGTTCAAATGAAGACACCTAATTATGTCACATGAGTTATTGCTAGTCATTAGCCAAACCAAAAAAATGCATCAAAACCTAGAAGCACAAGTTTGAACCCAGCCTTTTAAATAAAACATATACTCTATTGGGCAGAGTTATAGTACAGAACCTCTCCCAGGCTGTACAGCCATATGAATGGTTCCTGCAGAAAATTTTAAACATGGTTTCCAAATAATTTTCTGGGATGCATTGGTCCTAAACTACCTAATATTGCAGTTCTATCCTAGAGGATCAACTTCCATTTTATCATTTTTTTTTTTTTACAGGTTTATTAAAACTGTTTTTTATTAACGCACGGTATCAATAAATATTCATTTAAAAAAACATTTCAAAACATTAACACAGCGATACAACAATTCACATAAAGCAGATCGCTTTCATATATATTGCCAAAAATGTTTAAAAAAAACGAAAATGTTTCCCTTAAAAAAAAGCACACATTGATAATAGGACTTTTTGGTGCTGTTACTTTGATTGCAATGGTTAAAGCATGGGAGGCATGAAAGCTAATTTTCATGTGCTCACAACATAATAATAAAATGTAAAAAATAATTTAGGCTGCTGATAATCCTTTTAAAAAAATGTGCATCTTACAAATAAGTCTACGTCACAGGTTTGTGTCCATTTGAACATCCATAAGTGGGGAAAATGATCAGTTTCCACTCTTCAAACCCAGCAAACACTCACCTTTCCTAAAATTACTGCAACTGCAATGCATGCTGGGACAGGTTACTACACCTTCAAGAAGTGGTGAGGAAGAGCTGGTCTGGATTCACCACTTTCAGTTTATAGAATTTGAATTGGTTTTCATCGCCCCTAAAATTCGGCAAAACATTTCTGCACAGATTCGCCATTTTGCTGTCAAAGAGGTAAGGCGAATTAATGGTGATTTTTGGTGCATTTTAAGGGTACAATGAGCTTTAACTGGGTCCAGAGGGTTATGGAAGTTCCTTTCAACTACCCTAAACCTGTCCAACAACTGAAAAAGGAATAGACCGTGAAAAAAAAAGTAAAATTTAAAGTGACAGTATGCAAATATTGATAAAATATAAATACAAAGAACACTTGGGGACTGGTTTATAAATGTTGACATTTGCATGGCTCCAGCACCTCTAGATAGCACTGAGGAGTATAGGAATTTCCAATGCTCCTCATTTCCCTCTAGTGGCCCTAGTGCCTTGCCAGTGGCATACTGTTACCCTAAAAATACACCCCCCCCCCCCCCAAAACAGGAGAAAAAAAA